TTAAAATACTGGGTCTCATCACAGGAAACTCACATCTCCAAAAATTTGTTTGAGTGCAGTTATTAATTATGAGGAAAGATATTTTAGTAGAAAGTATAATGATACCTTCTGCAGCAGTTTGAGCCGGGTACTGCTATAAGAAGCAGACTGAGGTTTTAAGGCAGTGCTCCATGATTTTGGAGGCTGAAAAAAGGGTTGTTAAACATGAACGTTAAATGTTTCCTCTGGTCGTGTAAAACTTCTCTTAATTGAACATTATAACATTATACTACAGCGACTTGACCTTTTTGCTTGAACTCTCTTATACAACCACTTTAAAGTCCTTCTGGAAGAACTCAAAGGTATGTTTCATTCTTTAACACAGTAATTAAACTAATCAACTTTGCACCACTCAGTAGAATGAGTTATTTGATGACTTCTTTTTAGCATTCATGAGAGAAATGATCATTTAAAGTTACCCATTTTGTACTGTCTGGTCCTAGAGAATTGTTTTTTGCAATAGCTGACGTCCACTGTCAAGGGGGGGGGGGGGAGGTGCATTGGAAGGTCCATGCCAGGTTAATCAGTTCCGACAGCCATAGCCTCTTCGGCCAGGGTGGGGGTGGGAACAGTATCACTGCCATTCTTAACTACCCTTTATATCAGGGGTTCTCAAACTGGGGGTAGGGACCCCTCAGGGGGTCACGAGGTTATTACATGGGGGGGGGTCACAAGCCAGCCTCCACCTCAAACCCTGCTTTGCATTCAGCATTTATAATGGTGTTAAATATATAAAAATGTTTTTTTAATTTATAAAAGAGAGTCGCGCTCAGAGCTTGCTGTGTGAAAGGGTCGCCACTACAAAAGTTTGAGAACCACTGCTTTATATGGTCCTGGGGAGCGGCAAGAAAGATGGGAAAGCATAAATCAGAAACATTGCCTAGCACTATGAGAAGTCATTCACACCACCTTATATCTTGGGTCCAGACACATGGAGAAACCGCAGAGAACTTTATTGGTTTCTTTGTATCTGGAAACAGCAACAGCCCACCATGCTGATTTACGAGTGAAGATATTACTGGGTGAATGTCCCACTCTGCTTAATCTAATATTTACCATGTACGTTTCAGAATTCCATCTCCACCAAATAGGCAGTGCGCACAGAAATAAGAAATTTTGCTCCACCCAGGACAGAAATTTCTCTCTCTCTGACAGGTAAGACCGATCATGTTCTTGCTACTTTATTTATGAAAACTATACCAAACACAAAGTGTCATGACCAGAACATCCCTGAGAAGAACAGTGCTTTCAGATCTCATGAATCATTGACTTCCAGTAGATGGATTCTGTTCTCCCTTTCGGTACCCATCCCATTCCAAACAAACTTGCAATGCTATAAAGTCTAGCCACTTAAGTCACTGAAAGACTGGCAGCAGTCTCCTTGGCCCTAGACTAAAAGCTTCCAGTTGCCCTAGACTAAAAGCTCTTTGAGGCATAGACTATATATCTTCCTGTGGGTTTATACAGAACCAAACACAATGGTGCCCCTAATCCTGACTAGAGTATTTAACAAAAATAATAATGTTTGCTGAATAGTGTTTGACCAGCTGTAGACCTATCTGAATTAAAAAAATATTTGCCAAATAAATCGAACAAACAGATACCAGCTCTTCTAACACAATGAGACTACAAACAGGACTGGGGTCTAGTAGGTTGCTACTGTCAAATAAATAATGCTCAGCTAAGCTAGGCCCCACACTTTCAGCTACTGCTAAAGGTGAAGGCATTGGGAGTCCCACTAGGATGCTATCCTGGACCCCCCTCTGGGGCTCCATCTTTCATAGCCTCCAGCTAGTACAGGTCTGATCAGTGTGGTACCCTTAGGGTGACCAGATGTCCCGATTTGATAGGGACAGTCCCGATTTTTGGGTCTTTTTCTTATATAGGCTATTACCCCCCCCACCCCCGTACCGATTTTTCACATTTACTGTTTGGTCACCCTCCACCCCAAACCTCTTCTGCCTGCTGCTCCTCTCAGCCAGCCTTTTCTTCCTGTTCCCCCAAGTCTCATACTACAGTCTCCATGGCTCCTGTTACAGTCATCTCCTACAACTTTAGCTCTCTCTAAATCTCCTTTTAATCCTCTCCATTTACAGCTCCAGTGCTTGACCATTTCCAATGCTCAGCCCAAGAAGCACTGAATTTAAATTGGCCTCATTCTGATCAGTTTCATCAGCACGTAAATTACTGTGAAAACTGACAAGAGTGGCTGAGATGGTATGCCTGCATTCAGAAAGGCAAGATAACCCTGCGCCATATTAGGAACATTTTCTTCACAACTATAAGGACTAGACATTTGCTTTTTACAGGAAAGAGGATAAACGGAACCCTAGAGTTTGCAGTAATACATAACACGATGAAAGGTTCCTACAGGCCCTTGCGTAAGTAGATTTTTTTTTTAGCCCTGCTAATTTTTAATTCCAAATTTTCACTCTCATTTCTTTTGGCTTCGGGGGAAGGATTACAAATGCAGATCTCTTCAGAATGCCATTAACTATCAGTGCTGAGTACCAACGTTGAACATTATCTACTAACTTGGACTGTAAGTTTGACTTGAATGCTTTCTAATATACTGTAATCATAGAACAAAAGCAGATACACACAAGAGGATGAAGTTACAGACATATTTTATGGCTAATGCAAAGTTACTTGATAACACAGCAGCCAACAAAAGTGACAGGCTATACGCGTACTACTTTTCTGCAACCCTTAGGCTGATGTAGTATCCTAACATCATCCACTTTAAATAAGAGTTTATATTTTTCTTAACTGATAATTTACAAATGAGATTACCAGGAGTCCTCTTAAACATTTAAGCCTGAGCAAAGCACTATACAATTTCCCTGTTTTCTACCATTGGCCTATTTTAAGTCACCTCCTCAACTATTAGAGAAACATACCCCTATACTATTCCAAGACTGTATCCTGCAACAAGCCTTGCAGAGGCAGATCCCTGTACTGAGTTCCATTGATTTCAATAAGGCTCCATAAAAGGGTCCACCTGCATTGCTAGTTGTGGAATTGGTGGCCTAAAACTAATGCAGGAGTACTCAACTCATTTCCAAAATGCAAAAGCAAAACTACCCATCTTCTCAATATTGAACACTAATTCAATTTTAGCTAAAGGGATGCTATCAACTTAAAAATCCTTTCACACAGAAGTATTTTTAATCTATTACAATAGATAAAGATATTAATTAAATCCATTACAATAGATAAAGATAGAAATTCCACTCTACTTTTTGCACTTTGCAGCACTTGATGTCTTGTCAGTATTCCTTTGTGTGGGTATTTTAAAGGATTTAAATTCAAATATTAATAATAGGAAATTATTGCAAAATTTTTGCACAAGAGCTAAAGAAAGATGCAGTAACAAACTATTCATTTCATATTTTTAAATCAAAAAGATCTCAAGATGACAGTGTCCCTTTCAGAGGGCACTAAAAGTCAGGGTAAGCAAGTTCTTCCTGCTTAGAATTCATATTTTTCAATAGACCATTCAAGGTTCTAAAGAGGATTCCCAGAATCCCACATACTTTTGAAAAAATGAAAATTCAACAATAACATACTCCCATTGCAATCATATTTTTCAATATCATGAGCTAAACAGAGTACTCAGATCTACTATCAGTATCTGCAATGCTTCAGCTGTTTACCAGTTCTCTCACTTTGAAATAAGGAAATCAATTTAGAGCCTATAAATGTTCTTTGTTTGGCATTAATAGCAATTTTAATAAATATATGCAAATGGTAATGAACATGCAAATCTACACAATTGCACACAACACTTGGGTTGAGAGTTATACATACATTAGACTTATGTGCATATGCTGGCAAGTTTTCATGGTTACTTTGCAACAATAAACTTTAACATGTTTTTATTCACTTTACTGTTTTCAAATTTTGCAAGAATACCACACAGCATAGGTGTATTGCAAATACAAAACAGCCTTATGTCCAACCATCTGAGAAGGGAATTATGCAGTATTCTTCATAGTGTAGAGTGTACATAAATATTTAGCTAAGAGTAAGTACTACACTGGTTATTCCCACAATAAGAACCCAAATCTGATACCAGTCAAGATTACCTATGTTATTTAGTTTACTAAAATGCATAGCACAAATGACAAAATATTGCCTATTCAGAGCTTTTGTTGTCTAAGATAACTTCACTGCAATGCCAATTGCAGGTTTAACAATACAGGCAGCATGCTAATAATGATGGAATAATTAATCAAATATTGTTGCAAGGGGAAAGACAGGAGTCCTACTGCATATAAAGCTGCAAACACCACACATTTATTGCTGATCCAAGTACAAGTCTGTTGAATTCCAGAAGTTGGGCCTTAATATCAGCTTCACTTAGAATTACTTAGCAAATAGGACAAACATCTTATACAAGCCAATTCTCTGGCATTGGTTACTGTACACTACACACATGCTCTGAAACACCATTTGATTTGACCCAATGAATATCAGATCCCACAACAGCATGCCACTCGCTAGGCGATTTCATACTGGTTTACTGGTGACAATATGCCAGGAAACTATGTAACCCCATAATGAGGCCAATGCACCAGCCAATCGTTTAAAAAAAAAATCACTAACCGGCTTATAATGTGTAAGCAGCTATTAGAGTCTGGGAACGAGAGCCAGTGCCGGGGGGAGGAAAAAAGGGGTCCAAAGGTCTCAGACTTCGCCCAGCGTGGGGCGCAAAGGGAGATTTCTGTCCTTCTGTCCCCAACTTTTTAGCCCCCTGCGGGAGCCCCCTTCATTGGCTCTGCAGGGCTCCTGCTTCCCTCCCGCGGGGGCATGGGCTGGCACTTGGGGCCCTGGGAAGGGAGCGCGATGGGGGCTGAGCCGTCCTGCCCCGCCGACCCCCGCCCGGGCATATCCACCGAGAGGGTGGGGGCTTTGCCGTGGCACTGCCCACCCCAGCGCCCGGGGCCTGCCCCCGTTACCTTCCGCCAGCAGATCCTCCAGGGTGACCTGGTACCGTCCCACCACGAACACCCGGCCCGCGGCTGCCGCTCCGCCCGCGCCGCCGGAGCCAGCGCACGTCGTCCCGCCGCCGCCGCTCCCCTCGGCCTTGGGCATGCGAGAGAACTTCTTCATGGCGAGCGGCCGGCCCGCGGCGGGCTGGGGATGGAGCCGGAGAAGCGCGGGCAGTGCCCGGGGGCGGCGGGGGAAGGAGGCGCTGCTCGGGGAACCGCTCGCCGCTGCCAGGAGCCGGGCTGCGAGCCTCACATTCCGCCCGCGAGGAGCTGCCCGCGCTGGGCTCCTCCTGCCGCGGCTGCCCCCGCCCCGCAAGGCAGCCGCACCGCAGCCGGGGGGGGAAAGCGCCGGGCCCCGCTGCGCCCCTTCGCTCCCGCTGCCGCAGGGCCAGGAGCGACGCTGCGCTGCGCGGATTTTGCGCCCAGTTCACACGCAGCAGCACGTCACCGCCGAGCCGAGCACCCAGCGATCTGCAAGGGACCAGGCGCCTCGCCTCGCCTGCGCTGGGCTGTGTGCGGGGAGGGGCGCATGCGCACTCCTCCGGCTCGTCCCACTCCCCGCCCCGCGGCCGGAAGTGAGGTCGCCAGGCCTGGCCAGCACGTGGGGGGAGGGAGGGGGAGGAGAAGGCTCGCGCCGCCCTTTGAGAGCCTTGGCAGTTGTTTAAAAGGTTGGTGCTGGACCCCGCCTGCCGTTAGTGAGGAACGACCGTTTCGAACGCTGGAGGAGCGGGGGTTCGAGCCCCAAGGGAGGCTGGCGCGCGCGCGAGGATGGCCCTGCAGCCCAGCCCTGCCCCTAGGCAAAGGGGAGAGCTGCCTTTCCCCAGCCAATGCTTAATTTGTAATGAAAGTGGGGCTCGGCCATTATTTTTTTTTAACATTCATAACTGGTGCAGCAGTCCCAGAGGTGCCAGCCAGGCTATGAACTGCCAAGCCTAGAGGTGCCAGGGATCAAGCCCTGGCACAAATTAAGCACTGCCCCCAGCCAAAGCCTAGGACAGGACCTGCAGGAATACAGTTATTCTTAGCGGCAACGGCCCTCTCCTTCTTTCAATCCCAGCTGCTGGCACATCCAAGCGCCTGTGAACGGGACATTGCAAGCCATAATTTTTTGGCTCCTGGGTGGAGCTGGTCAAAAATGGGCATCGTTTTCCATAATTGTTTGCAGGAAAGGAAAAAAGGGTTGTGAAACTTTCAACCTGCAATGAAGGAGAGAAAAAACTTAGCCAAGATGAGGGGAAGCCCATCTACTACGGTGATGAAGGTGGTTTAATTGCCTGCATAGACTAGAAGAACTAGCTGACTCAGAAAAAAGTGCCATCACAGTTAGAGGTCTATAAAATCGTGAGTGGTGTGAGCAAGAAAGTGTTATTGACCCTTTCGCACAATACAAAACCTAGGGGTCACCCGATTAAATTAATAGGCAACTGGTTTAAAACTAACACAAGGAAGTACTTTTTCACACAATACACAATTTAACCTGTGGAACTCACTGCCAGGTGATGTTGTAAAGGCCAAAAGTATAACTGGGTTAATAAAAGAACTAGATATGTTCATGGGAGATAGGCCCATAAATGGCTATTAGCCAAGATGGTCAGGCATGCAACCCCATGCTCAGGCAAGCCTAAACCTCTGACTGCCAGAAGCCAGATGTGGAAGACAGGTGGATCACTCCAAAATTGCCCTGTTCTGTGCACACTCCCTGAAGCTCCGGTACTGGCCACTGCCGGGGACAGGACATGGCTAGATGGACCATTGATCTGACCCCATATAGCCATTCTCTTATGTACGCTGGATCCCCAACATCACTTCCTGCAGCATCTAGATGTTCCATGGAGCTCTTTGATCCAAGTACTGACCCAGCCTGACTGCTTATGCTGATGGAGATGACAGGATCCTTACACAAAGTGATATGGCTGCAGGCATATCTTTCTCTGGAGATTCCCATAATACAAATGCAGATGACATGCAAGTTGCCTTTTTCAGAGGTTGGTATCATACTAGTAAAATATTTGGTGTGGGAGCCACTGTCAGTTCCTTTAATGCACAAATACATCCACATTTTTGAGCTCTATAGTCCGATTCTGACAGTAGCATATAACACCTGATGCTGAGATACCTAGGATAGCAGTGTTAGTTGCCAGTTCCTTAAAGAATCTTTTGATATACCAGAAACTTGACATCCTTCAGATAGTCTTTCTTCCCTCTCAATTTTCCGATGAATAGCAGAGAGACACGCTGAGTCTACTTAGATTTCTCAATTTCCCACTGGCAGGTGACCTAAAGAGGAGGATTGGACAGAGCCAGTGCAAGGAAGGGGAGGGTAAGGGAGAGCAGGGGATGGAGCAAAATGAGGCACAACACACAGGTGGGGATGACGAGTGACGTAGAAGAGTGGGTGGGCTGAAGAATTACCCAGTAACTGGAAGAGGCAAGATAATAGGGAGGCTGGATTATAGGGTAGAGAGAGACCAGTTGTAAAGGAAGTGGGTGAGGGGAATGGAGCAGAGGAGTGGACCAAAGCAGCATTGCCAATGCTCACAATTTTATCTTGAGTCTTGCACTATTTGTCTTTTCTTAAAACTCCAGCTCCTGGAATCATGTGATGATGGGAAAATACAAGCTTTCATTTAAAAAAAAAAGTTTCTAGCCTTTAAAGTTATGGAGTAATCACCAAAAATGTGTACCCCGGAGGGAGGAAAAAAACTTTAAAGCAAACAAAAGGCCAAATTTGACTATTTTTAAAATCTCATGATTTATAAGATGCTCCAAAAATTATGAGATTTTGATTCATAGTTCTTTAAAGGCTAGGTTCAGCAATACCAGGGATTGCAGAAAATGAAACTTCTTTAACAAGAATGTATAATTGCAGACAACTGGAATGTAAATTACTGCACTTTATGCTCTTATTTAGTTAATGAGTAGATCTGGAAACCTGTACTATAGCTGGTTCCATAAATACAAATCCCCAATTTTTTAAGTGTACACAGCAGAGGCTGTGTTTTTAGATTCAAGATTTCTTAATAGTGAATATGGATTATACCATGTAAAGTGTCATTGACATTTTTTGTAAAGTGCTTTGAGATCTACTGATAAAGAGCACTATATAGGAGCTAGGTATTATTATTGTTTTATCATCATGCAAGAACATTTGAAAGTTGCTATAATGTCAGATGTTTTCCATATGCTGATATCAGGTGTGGAGTTAGGAACATGCTGACATCATCCTCTCCTCTCTATACTGTTTAACACTCCAAACCTCTTCAGTTTTGTTTCTTTCTGTTTTCTAAGCATCTCTCTCCCAAATGTAAATTCTTTCCCTCATATGGTTCATAAAATGGCTTAAACTCAGTCCCAACAAAATCAAATAAACCTTCCCCCACAAATGTTTGTAACGCTCTTAAAGGAAAATAAAACAAAAATCCCCAGAGGCAGTCCTTCTCTGAAGTCTTCTTTGTGTAGATATTAGTTCTTATGAATGTCTGCCTGCTGTTTTCTTCCTGGACAATCTTTTCCTCATACTAAATTCCCAGTCTGCTTACTGGAAACAAATTAAAAGAAAATGTTTAACTATTCAGAAATCTGTTTTTACTTTACTAAAACTGTCTTCTCTCTCTCTTTGTTAAAGCTCCTTAAATTATACTTCGTCTCATACTCAAAATGTAGGATTTTGCCTTCGTACTATAGACTAACTGGTGTGCAGAGGCCATAGCAGCAATATCTGTATGCTATTATGCCAGTTCATTTATAATACATGGCAGTTATTCTATCTTTTGATAGTTTGGTTAGTCTGAACAAGAGAATTTCAAGAGAAAAGTCTCACCATAAGCATTATTTTCACTTTTCTACTCTTATCTCACTGTTTTATGTTTGTTTTCTTTCTAATCCGTAGGAACCCTGAGAACCATCATCTACACAAAGAAGCAGATATACAATCTCCCCACCCCAGTAAATACTGTTTCTCAGTTCCTTGCTGATGACCCTGATTTAGCCTGTTTTAGATACAGTTACCAACACCAATCCAAATGTTTACTGATGAAGGAAGGGAGGAAAAACCCAAGAGACAAGTGAGCTTTTCTAATATAAAGTAAATACCTTAACTCCAACACTCAGCAGCAAGAAGGAAAGTTGCTGGTTTTTTGTTTTGTTTTGGGGGTTTGGGGTTTGTTTTTAAATGTATACAAAATATCAAATATCTGGTACATTGTGAGGCTACTGTGAAAAAAACAGTATGGATGAAATTCACTCCTTTGCAAAGGGCCAACACAAGACCCACTGGTCTGCATAAAGTCTTACTTTAGACTAGACTTGGCAGAGTTTGATTTTTTTTTAGATAATTTGGACAGATAATATTAATGTTTATTTTTAACCATTTTTATTTTGTCAATTTAAATTTTCACAGTTGTGGGAAACTGTGTGTGTGGGGGGGGGGTCAGACTAATTATTTAATGACAGTAGACATTGAAATCCAAATGTTAAAGCTTTAGAATCATTAAAACACAAATTGTGAACATCACAGGTCAAAATATACAAAGTGAGTATCCTAAAATCAAACTCGAATAAGTTCTCAAGCAGCATTTTTATTATTTTGCCTATTTGTAAATTTCAGTTATTATCAATGGAAATATTTTTTCATTGGTTTGTGTATAGAGAAATCAACATTTACTGACATTTACCAATAACAATCAAATCCTTCCAAGCCTACTTAATACTTACTTTGAGGGCTTACATGGTGTATAGGCCTCATGCTGGCCTTACAAATGGGAATTTCAAACCCTGTCAGTGTCAACCCCATCTGTCCTAAACATGAAAAAGCTATAACGCGATAATTGGGGTCCAAAAAATTCGATCGCGATAAATGCAGGGTTACTTTATAGTGGGGTTACGAAAATTTACCATTTCAAGCCGGTCAGTTTAAGTCTTGTAAAAAAAACCAACCGTTATCCCAGCGTATTTTAAACACAAAAGTAGTCATTTAATTACATGTACATGAAAGAAACATGTGAAATCGACTATACTAATCATTGCACAGAGTGCAAAGTCAATCTGGTTGCATGACTCCATAATTTTAAATTTCATCACTTCTTAAAAAAGCTATCTAGTGTGATCTGCTTATTTGCCGCGAACTGTTGGCTTCTAGCAAAGTCAAGAATGCTTCTGAGTTGGAGGATTTTGACGCTGTCCACGTCTTGAGTTTCCAGCCACCTCAAACTGGCTTCTAGGTGCTTTACTGCCTCGGAAACTTTTGGTGGGGGAGTTGAGGTGCCATCGTCGTCATCGTCATTAGCGCCACTGGTTTCAGGCTCTGGTGGTGCAGCTTCATTCTTCCCGCTGACATTTGCAACAATTTCGTCATCTGAGATGTGTTCATATATGGGGCAGATGTCATCTGCTGAAAACCAGTTGAGAGTATCATGATGACTGTGCTCATATTCTCTGAGTGCTTCTTCGGCTAAATGTACGTCGTCTTCAATGACTCTCGTAAATTCAGGCTCGTCGTTGTTACCATCATCGTGTGTAGATGACAGGAAAGCTGGACCAAGACCCTT